TTTATTTTATTCCCTCCTTATGACCAAAGGGGCAGCGACCTGACTCTGCTGAAGCTTTCATACAATCGCTAATTTCGTTTCTGCTTGAACGAGAGAATTAGCTTGGAAAATTTGTAAGCTATTTCTATATACTAAAAATACTCGAAAGACCTAGTTGGCCACAGAATGTACATGTAGCGTAGCAGAACTAAAACAGCTATCGACCTGCTTATTAAAAAAAGGAAGTATTTTTATGGGTAAAGGAATTAGAGCCAATAAGAAGATGAAAATTGCCATGAAAAAGCGAGAGTTGTGATTTGAGGATGGGAAAAAGATTCAACTTCGAACGGGACGGATAGTGATTTGAAAAGAGAGCAAATTTTTATCAAAAAATACACTTTGCTGGATCGTGCCAAGAAGTAGGTGCATAGATCCACAAGCTGCAATTCTGGCAAATGATTTTCACCGAAAAAACTGTTCCCAGATGCCAAGTATTTTTAAGACTCCCACCCATCCATCAGCATGTATGCGTAACGCGGCAAAATTGATTTACCCATCTGCCTGCTTGTAAAAGCGGTGTAGTACTTGCAAAAAACAAAATAATTAAAAAAAGATGAAAATAATTTCTTGGAAATAGTTTTTATTGGAAACTAATTTGAAACAGAATGAAGCACTTCTTTAGATGTCCCCGCTTTGACAAAAGCATCATTTTGCCCAAACCTATATAAAAAGCGCTGTTTTAAAAGATTACCGAGCCTTCAACTGTTGCTAGTACCAGTTGCGTCAGCAAGGCGGACATCAGAAATGCTGTCATCCTGGAGGGGCGACACTGAATTACCCGATAAGTTGGCCCAGTTCTTCCATGTACATACGTCTTGGAGGGAGCAGAAGGATGCACTTTCTTGTCGTCAGCCAGTCCGGTAGTACGTTGTCTTTCCAGCGCCTTCATGCACTGATGTAAAATGAAACGATGATCGGGAGGTGGAATCTGCTTTTTATACAGCAGAAAGCAGTGTGAGGGATTATGCTTTCCGATCACATATTTTGATTCAGCAGTAGAGTGATGGCGGTTGGACCAGACAAGACGTGGAAGGCAAAGATGAAGTAAGGGGAGAGGGATGAGGGAATGCATATGCCAGCGATAGATCTAACTTTTTTCGAACAAATTAGCATTATTAATGTGTTATAACATTCCTGAAAAGGTGTGAGAGTCGATAAGCTTCTTATCATCGTACGAGGCATTATTCTTCATCCGAAAAATTTCCTAGCGGACGAGGG